AAAAAAGAACCAACAAGATAACAGACAAGAAAGAAAGGCTATAAGGTAGAAGAACAAACAACAAACTACTTGAAACACAATACAACACCCAGAGCAGGTAATCACATTTTCTGATCCAAAGATCTCCTTCTCAGATAAGATACCAGCAAACTTTTTCCGGAAACATGAAATGACAAGCAGTGCCCTGAAAGCCAACCATCTGATAAGTGAATCAACAGGAGAATAAAAATCAAATGAGAACCATAAGCCTTTTTACTAGAATAATAATATCGTACCAAAATCTGGCAGGAAAAGCCAATGATTCGATGAACTTTGCTAACGAATCTTGTGATTGTGAAACTATATAATGCCTGTGATATTGAATAGGAGAAACTTATATAAAAGGACATGTTGATCAGCCTTGAAGAAAGAAAGTTTCTAATGGCACTCTAAACAAAACTCAAAAGGACAAGGAAAGAAAGTCAGCTCATGACCACAATAAGTAATATTGGCCAGTTTGCTCCATTTTTCATGGAACAGCCATGTCCACAAAGTACACCCAATTGTATAGAATGGAATGAGCAATTCAATTTGGATAAGAAATCCAAAAGTTCAGTGTAAGCTCGTGCATTTAGGAAATACTAGTGGATATGAAACATGAAAAAAGTTTCAGCAATCCTTACTCTGTCTCCAAAGGAGAGAATGATTCTACCATTATACTAGTCCTGAAGCAAGCGCCGAGTATAAGAACTTTTGTCCAAGAAAATTTAGGTTTCACAAAATGCACATTTCTCACAGATACCTAAGAAAATAGAAAGGAAAACCAGAAAAAAGTTCAAAATGATAGCGTTTCACTTATATTCCAAGCAACAAAAACCATTTATATCATGATCTGCGACTATCTAAAATAATAATACAGAGAATCGATTGTACTTACAACAGCACCCACTCGGAGACTATGCGGTGGTATAAGAAACCTGTCGCTCAGTAAGAGCCACGCCTCTTTATCCAATTCAATAACCATGCCTTCCATGTACACGCCTTTGATAATGCCAGTGTAGTTACTAGATTCACCTTTCCCCTTAACAACAGTTTCCAAGTATGGTAGCCGTTTCTTAAACGAACTAGGCAGATGCAAAATAGAATTCTCCGTAGTTACAAACATCAATTGAGACTCATCTTTTCCCATGAAGATCAACTTTTTCTTCAACCGAGACAGTAAAACAACACCACCAACGAGCTTCGTAATCACAGGATGCCAACACGAAGCAGAACCACAAAAGTAAATAAACAATGGTTTAGTAAACGAATGACGGAAAGTCGAGTCATGCAAAACCGCCATCAACTCTCTTGAAGCACATAAGTTACATTCACAAGCAATAATTCTCACTAGAAATCCTCGAATATTCACCGGAGCACTTGAATCCCCTACTTTATTGCTCTTGCCGAACGAACAGGGAACAACCGAAACAGGGCTGATTGATTCCAAGGTGCCGTGAACAAAATAACTGTGTTTGGAATTGTATTCGCTCGCACAGGAAGAACCAGACAATAGCGGGAACGATTCTACTCTCGAAGACCTACCAAGTTCAACTCCGGAATTTAGTAATTTCCATTCGATGATCTCCAAGAACCCACCGTGGTGATTCGAGGGAATGAAATTCCAAGCCAGTACGCGAATTCTCTTACCGATAACGCGAGCGTCGAAATCGATAATGTCGCAGCAAATCGTTGATGAATTGTCCGAGAACTGCAGGCAGCTTCTGTTAGGGCATTTCAGGGTCAGGGTGGGGAGTGTTAGGATTCCGATTAACATTGCCGGCTGGTTCAAAGGGGCCAAGATTTGAGGGGTGGTAGGACCTGCATTGCTGGGGCCGGGACATGATTGCCGTTCTCGAGGAACTGATTTGTAGGACGATGGATGAATATGAGGACCGAGAGAGAAGTGAAGAGATGATGTGGCCGTAAGAGCACGGCCATCCTGGATTAACTGCAAGATGGTGAGAAACTTTGGTTTTCCGTTTTGAACTGTCAAATGTTCATCCATGGAGTACTCCTACTAAAGAAAAGTATTAATCGTAGAAAGAATCAAGATGTAAAGGAGGAAATTTTGTGAAACTCGCAACCTTGCTTGCTGCACTGAAACTGTTTCCGATGGAGATGAGAGAGAGTAATGAGAAGAAAGAAATGACGCGAGGCAGCAGCGCGGGAACTCGATATTGAACCACACCCGAACCGAGATGACGACCACCGTCTCAAAAAATTATGAGGTTAAAATAATATTTTTATTATTTATCTTTGTTTAAATTAGTTAATGCCTTAAATTTGTATTTTTGAAATCATTATAGGAAACCCCAAAACTTGCCTGAGACCCATTGGACCCATAAGCAGCCCTTTACATGAAACCCAGGTCGGCCCATATGTGCAGCTCAACAACCCATTCTCTAGTAATCCGAAACGGTGCAGACTACAACAACAATGGCTGCATTCCAGGACGATCCATGCAGCAAAAAAATTAGAGAAGTGAAGGTCTATATATTTGTTATATACTGTTTCAGATTATAGTATTTGATATTTAACTATAGATTCTGATACGAGTATT